TTCGCCTTAAAAGTAAATAAATATCAATTGAGTTATCTATAATAGTTTACCGTTGATTTGCTATTAAATTTGCGTAGCCAATGATTGGCTGAAGGCCTTGAACTTCACTGCCAGCTAAATCATAATAAACATCAATTTCCAAGAAAAGCGGTGAGACCTTATTTCACAAGCAAATTGAGAAAAGTGTCGAACGAAAGCTGCGGAAATGTTGAAAATAGTGAGAATTTATGACCTTTACATAATCAGCGCTAAATGTTGACGATGAGCAATTTATGTATGTGACAAATGAAAGCGTGAGAGGCAAGTATGATTTGTAGATTGAAGGTATGTTGAATAAATATGCTTGCTGGAGGCGTTCGATTTATTTAAGTCAGTAAGTTTATGACTTGGTGGTATCGTATTACTGGCTATGGGATATAGTAAGATGAGCGATAAAGATTTTGGCGCTAAATATTGCTGTCCACAAATTGAGTGAAATTTCCTGCTATCATTTGACTTTTAGTATGTTGTTGTTTTACAACCGCAGGCTTCGCACAATTCGTCAATTATGCGCAATCGAAGTGTTGGCCATCGACACATACAGAAACAGATACCTCGGCAGCATATTTATGCTCGTAGCAAAAAGTTGACTGCTGTTATATAGCAGCGCTCACTTGCGTAGCAGTCGTGAACAGGAAAACACGCACATTTTCACTTTTATTTGATAAAATTATTACAGTGGTATTTGCATAGATTTCGCTTTTACAGCTACGAATTTGGCTTCTTATCATTTCCTCGTCGACTTTCCTTCTTTGTGCCTTTGCTGATTTGATTTTCGCACCACACGTTCACATTTTATTCATAGCTTTGCGCTTAGCGCACGCTGCCATTGCTTTCTGCACTGAATTATATTTGAAAAACGTAAGTCGCTGTACATACGGCGAGATGTAAACCTGACTGTTCGTTCGTTGATTTTATGCGCATTTGCGCCGTCAGTCAGAAACCGAAATTTATCTTTCCAATAACATTTTCCCGTAATTCTCTTCACAACGTTGGTAATCATATTTGACTGCGGGGCGAAATAAATTGCTGTGAATGCGTGCAGCGGTGTCGTTGTCCATGTTAAATTGTCACGTTTTTGCAAATATATATTTCGATGACGACCGTTAAATATTATATAAAAACTATATTATATATGTACTTGTATATATATTAAATATACGATTGCTTAGAGTCGATAATTGTATGCTTTGCCTTTCACATAAATTCTTGTGGCGTTAAGAAATGCATACGCTTGTGCAGAAGTTTATTTGACACCAAACAGCAGCTTTGATTTCAAACGCCTGTAAATATGCCACTTTATTTGTTCCTTTGCGCAGTAATGTTATTGCTTGTTTTTATTATTCCAAGCATTTTCTTATTTATTTATCATGAGAAGTCAGGAATTGAAAATCGAACGGTAGCTTTATCAACACTTAAATATATAGGCATACAGGGTGTTTCTTCTATTATTTCATGTGTAAGTACTTAAACATTTTTAAAGAAAAAAAACGTTAACTTTGGTGGCACCAAAGCTATAATACCCTTCAGAAATCAAACAGTTTTCCATAAAAGAACTTGATTTTTACGCACCAGTTTGTATGACTGCTGTACACTTTAATGGTTCGATCTGAATAATATATTGTAGCTTTGCTTTGAACAATAGTTTAAACCTAATTTCGTGAAGATATCTCATCAAATGAAAAATTTTTCCATATAAGAACTTGATTTTGACAGATTAGTTTGTATGACAGCTATCTGCTGTAGTATTCCGATATTGACGATGAGGAGAAAAAATCTTAAAAACTGAGGGACTAGACCAATTCTAAATGGACACAACTCATCACGCAGATCACTAATTTAAATGTATTTATAATATATGGTCCCTAAAAAAATAGTTTAGAGTACCTTTGAGTACAACATTAGTTCTGTTAAGTTAAGTTTTGAAGCTGTATTCATAACTTTTCAGTAGATGATATAGAAATGGTTTCAGCACAAATATTTGCTTTGAGTTTAGCAGTGGTCTTGAGAAGAAGTTGGGAAGTCGAACTTGAACAATATTGCTGACCAGTGAATAACATCTCGTTTTAGCATCAGATGTCCAGGAATTTTTTGGTTGCATTAACTGAGTAGTTATCATAAAAAGACATCTACATGAAACTAGTAATTGTCAGGACCTATCTTCACGAATATTAGGGTACACATAGGTCAATAAAAATCGATATTTTTTTCCAAAGATAAAAAAGTATAAATGAAAAAGTAAGCGCCAACGCTGGGTTTGTGTAAAAGCTGAATCAAATTGTCCCTTTTAGGGTTATTCTACGGTATTTTCGGGATACCAAATCACTGCTCAATAACGTTCCATTTAAAATATCCCTACTTCGGTGCGTTGCTGCGGTATGAAGCGATTCATGATTAGAACTGCATGAAACTAGGCTTTCTAAAATAGTTCTAAACGAGTTCTATTCGGCTACCAAAGTCAAAATTATTTAATATTTCCATATCGACATAAAAGATGGCGCACCCTGTAATACCTAACGCTGACAGCTTTGTTACTAATTTGGCTGCTTTTCTCACCCATTTGAAGCTCACACTACTCACATTTTGAATATATTATTAATAACTTTTATTATTTTTTTGAATATTGAAAAATGTATCTAAATATTTGTTGACCCTCGGCCTAACACACCGAGTAAACAATTATTTTATGTTATTTTTAACCTATCGCATTGTTTTTCATCATCTAAATCGCATATTTTATTGTCATTTATTTAAGTGTTTTTTCCAAATAGATAAACAAACAAAACGACACATATATATATACACACACATACACATATACACACAAATTTCCACAGTTCCGCCGGTAAGGAAATGAAAACGTTCGCAGATTAGAGCAGCTGTTGAAAATTGAATATATTTTTGCATATTAATTTCTGCGCCTGTACCGTTGCTACATCAACAATTGTTGGCAATTGTTAGCATTTGAAAGAATTTGCATAAATAAATGAATACAAAAAATATGCATTTTGTAAATAAATATGGTTTAGTGAATTGAAATTGAAAATATTAAATGACTTTTGAATTTCAATGATATTAACAGGAGGGTGATGGAATATAATATTTTATTGCTGGTTTGACGGCGGTCTGTGGGTGTGGTAAGCCGAAACATTTTCTGTCGGCGCGTAAAATTACAATACAATGAAATTCGTGGATTTTTGGTTAGATTTTGGAGATTTTTGAAAGTACTTGAGATTGCTGAATATTTTGAATTCAAAGCGCTTGTTTTATATTATAAATATACAATGAATGGTAATTCATCTCTTACTCCACTTATGCTAGTTTAAGCTTATATACTCCATCAGATCAGCAAATAAAAACTCCAGGTTTGTGCCGGTTATGTATATGCGACTATCTTAGGAGCAGAATACAATTGTTTCTCGCAATTTAGATTTTGAATTAGTAAAATAAGTATACATTTTTTATTATTTATGTTAAATAATTATTTCTCAAAGTTATTGCGTTTCTGAAAAGTTATTGCGGAAGATTACTAAATGCTTAGTTTTTGTTATATGAAAGCTTCGTGTTACGCTAAATAAAATTTTTTTGTTTATATAGGTAACAACTTAATTCAAAACTTTAGTAGCAATGAAAATTAAAAAATGTTTATTGAAAAAAAACCTTCACATAAACTGACATATTTTTCTATTTTCGAGTCAAAATTGCGTTGAACTTCAAGTCATGAAATTTCGACTGCAAAACCTGTTGATAAGTCAGTTTAACTAAGCCATGTCCAAATTTATAGTGGATTTGCATTTAGCGATGAATTTTGACAGGAGTCGTCAAGGGTTCGGTTGTGACTGAAAGATTTTTGGTATTTACGATAATCAATGATTTTATATTGTAAGCGATTGTAACCAAATGTATAGTGGAAAAATATAAAGATCCAGGTTCTTCAAATCAGTACCTATTTAAATTTATTTACCGCAAAAATTAATATTTAAAGGCACTCCTCATTTATTTTTAGAACAACAGTTTTTTGATTATACAAGTATTATGTATTACAGCATTAAACTTCAAAAAATAACAAAAGCTCGGCCTCTTTAAAAAATCAGATACTTCAGCTAGAGATAACACTCATGATTGGAGTGAAATATTTTTGTATTTCATTAAAATATTCATTGGTCGCTTGTGATTTATTACAGATTTGATACAGTCTTTATATATTAGACTAAGCCAAGAGCTTTTCGGATATACTAAAGATAAGAGAATAATAAATGAGGAGTAAGGATAAGAAGGGACTAACTGAACTAGGTGAATCCTCTCTTTCTTATATTTATATCATGAGCAAGAAGATTAAGCTTACCACGAAGTTGGTAACACTCAAAAGGAAACGTCGAATATCCTATAAAATATATACCCTATAAAATATATACATGTATAAAAGATCAACATGACGAGCTGAGCTCGATTTAGCTATTTGCGCTCAATTTTTGAGATATCGATCTGAAATTTTACAAACATTCTTTCCTTCCACAGAAGCTACTCATTTGTCGGAACCACCAATATCGCACTCCTATACCATATAGCTGCCATACAAATTGAACGATCGGAATCAAGTGCTTGTATGAAAAGCTTTTTCAGTTCATGAGATATCTTCAAGAAATTTTACGTAAATTATTTTCTTAGGTAATGGTGTGAACTCTGAAGTAATTGTATGGATCGGAAAGTTTAATTTTGTTTTTCCTTTATCTATAAGCATAGAAACGCTTGAACCTCTGCATTTCTATATGTATTCGGTTTTTCTAATCAACTCCAAGAATGTGAGTGAAAAGCTGAGGTTCATTAAATATATATATATATAGCGTCAGGCTTATATGTTATAAGCTAAACTACTTTATAATTGATAAAACAAATCTAACATTAATTAGTCCCACTGCAACATTACACATCCTATAGTTGCCAATGAAATCTCCACTTACCTGCAGCACAGCAAAAACGACCACAACAATGGTGACAATCGCCAGACAAACGGCCACAGCAACAGCAGTAATTGCAGTCAGCGGTGAGCTCATACGCGAAAAGAAACCGCCACCGTTACCGGATGTATCCTCATCCAAAAAGCCACCATACAAGCCGCCACTGTAAGCGCTGCCGAATTGTTGTTGCTCCGCAGCGGCAGCGATGCGACGCTTGCCCGCTGGCGAGGCATTGATGCAACCGCCTGCAAAATCAAACAATTGCGATGAGAAACACAAGACAGAGCTGCTGCCATTATGCATTAATAAACTCATAACTGTAGATGTGTCAATGTGTGAGTGTGTGAATATGTGACACAATGCATGCTTTGAAAATGTGTACGATTAGATACGCGCGTTTATGCTTTTGCATACACTTACCGGTATCCTTATCACAATGACAGCATGACTGATCCTCCGGTGCCGCATCGGTGGGACAACAGGGCACACATTGATTATTCAAACGGTCCAAATGCAATGGGAAAGCGCACGTTTTGCATGAATACTGGCCGGGGCCGGAGCAGGAACGGCACGAGTCGTGACAGGTTTTGCACGTTTGTGTGGGCGAGTCGTAATACTGTGACCCCAGGCACTCCATGCATAGGCCGCCGTCAAGCATGAAATGTAGCGGACAGGAAGTGCAGGCGAGTGGTCCGGCGCCTGAGTGGCATACCATTATGGAAAGAGAGTAAAAAAGAAAAAAATGCAAGCAAAAAAAAAAAAAAAAATAAGTAATGTGTGCAGTAGTTGCATAAAAAAATTAAATTCAACAAATCAATTCACTCAGCGCGGCACGTGCGGCAAGCTGGTGCTAAGCAGCTTTGCAACAATTGCCAATGGCTGAGGGTCGGGAACTTACCGTTGCAAGTTTTGCAATAATGATGACACTTCTGACAGCCAAACTCGGATTTGTAAAAACCCTCCGGGCACTCCGGATGACATTCGCCGCCGGCCAGCTGCCAACCTAACGGACACTGTACGCATTGGTCGCGCCGCGGCCCGCTGCAGGTGTGACAGCTGAGGTAACACTTGGCGCAGGTGCCACGGTCGCTGTAATAGCTGCGAGTGTGTGCATGGGTGTGCATGTGAGTGGTGCGGGAAGAGAAAAAAGAAAAAAAAATTTATATAAGTTTTAGCACGAGTGTTTGCTGAACAATAATCTTAAATTGTAAAATTTTTATTTTGTGCTGCGCGGGAAGTGCGCGGAGGCAGCAGTAGGCGGCAGCGTAGTTCGGCAGGTGAGCAGCGAAATGAGTGTGAAGTTGGCAAATGTGCAAAAGTTGTCGTTAAATTTTCTTTACACTCTACTGTTATGCTTTGCAAGTAGTTGGCGTTGTCTTGTTATTGTTGTTACTTTAGCTGCTTGTTAGCACTTTGACAGAGCGCTGTAACTTGCGAACTTTTAATGGTGACACAAACGTTATGTTGTTATATGCTATTGTTATTGTTGTTGTTGCTAAGATTTTGAGTTGTTCAGCTTGTTGTATTGTTGTTGCTTTTAAATATTTGAACAGTTTAAGAGTTGCATGGAGTCGTTAATCAGCAGCGCTTGCGACACGACAAGCGGACAAATTACGGTGCGTAGAAACAGTTATGAAATAAATGTGAAAAATAAAACAACAACAAAAACACATTTACATTTCTACAACTTGTGTTGCCGGAAAATATAAAGTTTTTACTAGCATTTTTCGAAATTACTATAAATTTTGAAACACCGTTCAGAAGAGGTAAACTCAGTTTACAAGCGGTGCTTTGCAATCTCAAAACTTGTCAGCGCCATCGACGAAACGCAATAATCGCAACAAACTTTATCGTCTTTACAAAATCAAAGTCAAGCGTAAAATTACTTTCCTGCTCATTTCCTTCAACTAACGACCTACCAGGCCGCACTACCCCCTCCCTTACTCAGCTACAAAAACGCCTGCTTCTCAAGCGCAGCTACAATATTGAGCCCACTATAATGAGCGCTTCGACAAATGCCATTAATTACCCATCAGCGCAGGTTGTGCGACATTCGCCGCTCTGCAGTTGCAATCCTTTGGCGCAGGCGGTACAATTCATGCGTGACACGCATTGTGTGCAGGTGTGCAGGCACTTGGCGCATACGCCCGCCTCCATGTAGAAGCCGTCATCGCAGCTGCTGACGCAACGACTCGACTGAAGGAGTAGACTTTGCGGACACGAAAGGCAATTCGATTCGGTGGGTCCATCGCAGGTTTCGCACGTGGAGTGACAGGGATGACAGTGATTGTTGTCGTAGTACTCAGCTGTTCATTGAAAAGAGAGGAGAAGAAGAAAAGTTGTTAAGTTTGTTGATGTTAATCAGTTTTGTTTTGTTATGATAAAAGCAGGAATATTTATAAAAAAAAAAGCTTCATATTGTATATCATATATATTAATAATATTTTTCTTTAAAACTGTGTATACTTAAAACTTTAAAACAATTGACAGAGTAGTATTTTTTATTACCGAAAATTCTCTTTTTTAGGCGGCCCCTTAATACAATTCATTAAAGATAGTGCTGGAAAAGCGGTAAGAGCATAATTTCGAAGTACATCTTATGAAGTATTATTTATTTACATGAAAAAGGTGTTGAAATTACAAAAACAAAAAATCATCCATCAAAATCGCCTTAAAGATACCTATGATATAAATAACACTAGGGTAGGGTGAAAAATTTAGTTTCTGTTTTCACCATAATACGATAGTAATGCCAACATTGCTTTGGCATTTGGTAAGCGCTAGTAAATATAATTTTTTGTTAGACCAATTCTGAAATGTGACTTGGAAATTTCGAAGCCAATACTTCTAGTTTGTTTATAGTGCTTCCAAATTTTGTTTTATATATTTTAGACCAGTAATACTATCGTGAATGGAATATTGCAAAATCCAAAATCGAATTACAAAGATTTTTATTTTTTATTTTAAAATCTTAAAGACTTAAAACCAACTATAAATGTTTATAAAAAACAAAAACAGGGTATTACCAAAACATTTTTTGACTTAGAAAGAAGAATTTCTCGATCAAAGAAAGGAGCGCCATACAGCATACGTAAGAAGTCATATTAGCGCAGAGTTGAATCGCAAGTGTTGCCCTTATGTTTGAACATCTGGTATAGTCTGTTCGATTCGCTACTCTCCAGCGTTTGGCGAATCGATAGCTAATTATTTGTGGCTATTTAAGAGATTAAGCTTTTTCGTTAATTTGCTAGATTTCATTAATTTTTACTAACACTAAAGAAACTTTTTCTAAGAGCAAAGTTATCAAATATCGAGAGTACGCGCTGATTTGTAGGTAAGTCTAATTTATAACTACCTAATACTGTATAAATCTAGAAGTAAGAATGAAGAAGCAGATCTGATAATTCCGATCTATCTATTTTGAACTATTACAAAAACTATTAGGTGAACGAAAGATTGTAGAGATCTAAAAAATTTGAAGAGTTTTGTCTAACTCTCTGCTCTGTCATTGCTAGACTTGCGCATTCACAGTGTGAAATCAAACAAATTGAGAAATTTTGCAGAAAATACTCTATGAGTTGAGCTTGTTGGCAAAAATCATGTTTAATAACCGCACCATATCAAAAATCGCAGCACTTAATATTGAACTGGTGGAACGAAAAAGCAATCAGTACTTCTGTGGCAACATAAATGGTGCATGTAAGTAATATCACGAGAAAATGAGATGAAATTATAATTATGGCAGGTAAAATGAGTTGATGTGTCGGAAAATGAAACACCAAACGAACTTATAAACAGCACGAAGTATATATATACACACATACACACACACACACCATTCAGCAAACATGCTTAAAACCAGAGCTGAAGAGAAGAAAGAAAAGGGCAAAAAGCTGATCACACAAATGAAATGGTGGAATGGTCAAGCATAATTGCAAATGAGAATGGGAAAATGTAATTTGACGAATGAAATGAATTGGCAGTGCAGCAAGAATGAATGGGCGCTATGTAAACGTGTGGCAAGGCAAGGCAGCGACCGCCTGCTTAAAGTGTTCACATTGTTGTTTGTGTGCACGCAATTTTATGGCAATCATAAAGGCGAATTGCCACAACGGCCTATACTTGCAACCGCCCATCTTACGGCCGCCTACACGCATCGCTTACAGTGCGTCAGATATGTCCGTGTGTGTGTGTGTATGTGTGTCTCGTACGAATCTGCATACGAAACTCATTTAAATCACACGACTCTGCGCAAATTTAACGTGCTTTTAATTTCGTTTTGTATTTTTTCAAAAGCATTATTTATATATATATTTTGTAAATTAATATATGTGGTAGCCCTGTTTAAATTTTTAGGTGTTTTAAATTAACCCGTTTCAGTTTAAAAGCTTTTGACTGGCTTGTTGCAAACAACTTTTGTTTTCGATTTTTGCAAACTAAAATTTGATTTTCCGCAAATCCAATCACAAAAGAATACCCCAATCAGTCTACGTATGCGTTGCAACATTCTTTGTAGTCATCAACATTTTCTGAGCCTTTAATGCTCGCCGTTGTTGCGCTGTCACTTTGCTGCTTTTGACAGCTGCCTTCTGCCAGCCGATGCACGTGTCATCAAGCCAAGGTGGCTGTAGCTGTAGCAGCAACGTGTTGCGAATGCAAGAACATTACAATTAGCCTGCCAAATGGCTGAGCAAATGACCTTTTTACTTTATTGTATATCACTGCCTCGCCCATTAAATGGCCCGCCCACCACCTAGTCAGTCTGCTGTTGCAATTGCTGCAAGCGAAAAGGAAAAATTATCGCCAAGGTATAGTTAGTCAGTTGGGTATATCGAGCTGCATGCTCTGTGGCTTATTCATCAGCTGCCCAAGCAGACAGCCGCTTGATGTCTGTTTGTCCGCCTCACTTGTTTGGCTCGTTTGGCATGCAAATGGAATTGTCACTTGCAGTTTGCAGCCAGCAGAATTCACCCTAGAAATGCGTAGGCTGAGTGCACTCTCATATAATATTATATATGAGGAAAGAGGCGGTAATAATTTGAAGCAATCCTGAGGGATCAGATGCAATTAAATTGCAATTTTTTAGTGACCATTCGGTCAAACAACCATAAATTCATATTTTAAAACAAGATTTTACTCAAAAATATAAATCATTTTTAATTTTTAATTGGCATGAAAAAATTTATTTTTTATTACCTGCTTTCCTTAAAGCAAATTACTTTACCAAACTATTGTATATGAAAAATCAAAAAAACAAAGTTGTACTCGGCTTGCGTGCCCTCTTTGCATGCCTTGCACTTGCGTCAACTCTTGCATGCCTTGCCATTGTCACTTCCTGCCGCTACACCTTTAATGGTGTTCTGAAACTCATCACAAATGTTGTCAACAACAGTTATGCACCAAAGGGTGCAAGCGCAGCACTCAAGCATATTTATACACACCTACATATATGTATAATATATTTGCAGTTGTATGGTGTGTCGCGGCGTATACGTAACACCACACAAATTGACTTGTTTGCTCCGCTGTTGTGGTGCAAAAGTGTTGTCGCTGTTTTTGTTATTATTGCTGCATCTCATATTAAAGTTTCTTATTTGGTTTTGCTACTCTACTGTTATCTCGTTGCTTCGTGTGCTCTGTGGTGGCATTTTCCTTGCTTGCCACATTATTAATGGCGTCGAAAGGGTTGAGATTGTTTTGAGATTTCTTTCGTGGGGGAGCGCAAAAATTTATTTGTATTATTACGCGGTGCACATACTCGTAAAATATCTTAATTGCTATCTGTTGGGATGCTATACCATAGTTGGAGAAGTGATTTTAGGCCGTCCCTGCCATTTAAGGTTCGTGAATAAATCATTTTCTAAAAATTAGATTTTTCTAATCAGTAAAATCCCAGAAAAAAAATTAAGAAACGAAATATTTGAAGGAATATGGAAGGGAATTGAGTTTTTTTGTTAAGCATCTCATATTAATCTTATTAGTAACATTTATACCCTGAACTAGGTATCGATATTAAGTTTCGCTCACCCTGTAGGAAAATGTCGGAGACCATATAAAATATATATATATAAATTATCAGCATGACGAGTCGAGTCGATGTAGTTATTTTCATCTGTCTTTATATGCGGACTAGTCTCTCAGTTGTTGAGATATCGAACTGAAATTTCGCACACGTTCTTTTTTAACCTAAAAACCGCTTTTATGTCGGAACCGCCAATATCGCACCACTATGGAAACTTGCATATTTGACAAGATGTCTTCACAAAATTTGGCACAAATAAATGCTTAAGACAACGGTATAATCTGCTTAGAAAATGCTTAGATCGGATTACTGTAGCATATAGCTGATATACAAATTGATCGATCAAAATTCAGTGCTTCTGTGTTCTTAGAGTAATGCTTAAATTAAACTTTTGGTTCTTAAAATTATAATTTAATTGATAGAGTAGTCGAAAAAAGTCTTAGTCCACCCCGCTGTAATATCTAAGCATTTTTAGACAGTTGAAGTATGTAAAACTTTAAGCCAGTTTCATCGAAAGATCGCACAAAATTTAGTTTAACAAATTTTTTTTTTTGGAAAAATTTATGTTAAGCTAAAAACTTTACTAGTAATATATTAAGTTCCTGTTTTTTATTTTGTTTCAGGTGACACGAGTTGCTAGAATAACCGTCTCCCACTTAAAAAAGGTGATTCCGAAACTTTGCCTAGTAACGTCCATTTTGAATAAAAAACTTAATAAACAGTCTTTATGTATACTCAAATAAAATATTTTTAATAAAGCTTCAGAGAGAAAACTTCTATACCTATTTTCTTAGTCTCAGAATAAATTCAAATTTAAACCTCTTTTGAGTGCTCTAGAATGACCTAATTCTTTCAGCAACTTTTTGCTTTCTTCGGCTATAAAAATATCGACTCATGTGTTGATCTTAAAGGAATAGGATATATGCATATATAAAACTCTTTACTACATTAAAGAACCAACCTAATGTCAAATAACAACTTATTTTTGCATTAATAACCATCACAAAAATCCGAAAGCAAATAATATATGAAGATCAAAATAAAAAAATTCTGTATATATGTAAGCATTATCAACCTATATTATACCGGCACTCTGACACCTTGTATATTTTCTTAAAACTCTCATTTCTTGTATATATATATATATATAGTACTTACATTCATCGCAATTCTCACTGCCGGTGATAATGCATTTGCAGAGAGAGATATGCTTAACAAAGTTGATAAAGATGTAAATATAATTGCACAACTTCTTTCTCAATTGTTTGGGTTGGCAGCAGTTTAAATACAGTTCAAAAGTAATTACGAGCGCAATTTTTACAAATATTCAGCGCAAAATCATAGCAAATCCAAGACTTACTTATAAACAGGAACTTACAGTAGAGAATTAAGTTTGCTATATGTCCTAAATCAATTTTAGTTTTTCAAATATAATAGTAAAATATATGAGCATTAAGGTGTGCCAAAAAAAACAATTTTAATTTTTTTTGCCCTAGAAACGTGAAAATTTTGTCAAAAGTGACGAAAAATCGTGTAAAATTTGAGGTCTTAATATTATAAAGAAGGATTTTTAGACACGTGATTTTAAGAAGAAATAAAACGCTTATTATTTAATGTTATGACCACGAATTTGGCTTTATTATTAATATAACAGTTTGCCGTTATGTTTTAAAAGGATTTCGGGCATGTGTTCGCCGTGGCTGGCTCGAATCATCAATTTTCGCACACTTTTTGCAGCATTGGTGCCGTACGTCAGCAATAAGGCGCTAATATTCTCTTCCAAGCATCAATTGTCTCGGACTTTTCTGCTTAGATAAGCGTTTTCATATAACCCTAAATATTACAACTGTGTTAAATCTCACGATTTTGGAGGCCACGCTACAGGCTCACGTCCGAGATAATACGTCCACCAAAAGTTTCTTTCAATAAATTGATTTCGCTGACTAAATGGTATGTAATGCCGTGTGGTAGGAACGAAATGTGGTGCACATCAACATCTTCCAATTCCGACACGAAAAAGTCATTAATCATGGCTCAGCATTATTCGAACCGTACCATTATTTTGGTAATCAATTTGCAAAAATAAAAATAAAAATATACAATCAATTTCCGATTTATTCTTTAAAATTGTATTTTCGTGCTATAAATGTGTGATTTTTTATTATTTCAAAATAAAACTAAGAGATTTTGGTATCAAGCTGCATATGTTAAGCTAAGCTCTAAAACCACAGAAACTCAAACTCACTTCGAAACAGAGATAATATAATATCACCTTCAAAAAATAAAAAAGTCATTGAACGTCATGCTGTCATCAGCAATAGACGACATTACCTTGCCTCCAGAATTTAAAAATATGCAAAATATTAAATTTCACACTTCGACAAGCGGTGCAACACACCTCATCACTTCGAGAAATATAAAATTTTTTTGGTGATTTTCTTATAAAATGTTACAACTCACTCTGCAGTGAAATATTTGCTTACCTGCAGCCATTAAATATAATCGTACTGAACAGTTTTACAAACATATGTATGTATATGTATATATACACTTACATAAAGCAGATACTCTATGCACAGGTATATATGTAAAAGGATAACGAAAGTTATTACCCTTGGCGACAGATTCTCGAAGACAAATCTTTACAGGGCCTGCATAAGTATGTGTGTATGGCTAAAATAGTCAGCAGGCATTCGTAACCATATTATATAGTATACATATTTCTATATGCCTTGCTATGTTTATGCATATATACAAATATCCATTTATTATTTCCACTCTCATACATTTGCATACAAAAATATTTTTCGGAATAAATTTTTTCATAAAAATCTCATATACTCTTCGATCTTTCGCTTGTAGATATATACACTTTATACACATACATATACATATGTACTCGTATATGCCACTTCTTACCTTAAGCTATAATGCTTGTTGTTGCTCTTTTATTTCAGTTGCGCATCGTGCCATCCATCTTGTGACACTTGCAACGGTTCCGCCGAATCGCAATGCATCACGTGTCGTTCGGGTCGCTTTGCCTTCGATGGCAAATGTTTAAACAATTGCCCGGACGGTTACTATGCGGACAAAAAACGTCAAGAATGCGTTGCCTGTCCCACCGGTTGTGCAACATGTAGCAGCAATGGCTTTTGCTTGACGTGTCGCGAAAATTGGACGCGCAACAAGAAGAGCAAATGCATTATCACCGGCAGTGAGAATTGCGATGAATGTAAGTACTATATATATATATATATACAAGAAATGAGAGTTTTAAGAAAATATACAAGGTGTCAGAGTGCCGGTATAATATAGGTTGATAATGCTTACATATATACAGAATTTTTTTATTTTGATCTTCATATATTATTTGCTTTCGGATTTTTGTGATGGTTATTAATGCAAAAATAAGTTGTTATTTGACATTAGGTTGGTTCTTTAATGTAGTAAAGAGTTTTATATATGCATATATCCTATTCCTTTAAGATCAACACATGAGTCGATATTTTTATAGCCGAAGAAAGCAAAAAGTTGCTGAAAGAATTAGGTCATTCTAGAGCACTCAAAAGAGGTTTAAATTTGAATTTATTCTGAGACTAAGAAAATAGGTATAG